AGTATCAGTCTGACTGAATGACAATGTGTATTGTTGACAAAACTGCTGCCTACCAGCACAGGCTGTCCCTATTCAGATGAGTAAGCCCACCGACATGTGAGTAAGGAGTTGCAAAATCAGGCCCAAGTTAAAATGGTGAAAAGGCAAGCTTCAGAGGTATTATGTTACACACACTGACCTATATTGTCTCCTCCTCTCCTACATTAAGAAACCTATGGAAAGGCAAAGAAATCTGGATTTCAACTCATGGAGTTTCCTTCAGATTTTTCTTAGAAGGAAGCAATATGATTTTAGGCTGCAAATTGTCTACAGGCTGTAGGGGAGCAATATTCTGGAGCACATCCATCAACCCAATCTTTCCCCTTTCCGCACTCAGACATTTTTCTGTGAAAATAGGTACTGTTTTTAAATCTGTAGCAAGAAGCCAGGGAGATCAGAGGGGGCTAGAAGAGGTTTAAGGCGGAAGTTCTGCAGTGAAGCAAAATTTAAGGGCTAATGCTCTTTGTTTATTCTAATAAAGTCCTTGGGAAGTGTTAGAAGAAGATAACTTTCTCTGTCATTCTTTATCATTTTCACATAACCGCTCCCTTATAAGCTGCAGAGCCTGACAGATGGGGGATTATTCCACAGAGCCACTGATCTCCCTTGTACATGCTGTTTTCCCTACTTGTTCCTGCATATGGTCCTCTCCACTGTGTCAGGCAGTGAGATTAGTAGGGTAGAAACAAAAGAAAGAAGTGGGAAGTTATTGAGTTTAAATCTACAGAGTCACAAAGATAGGAAATCAAACTTTTGTAAAATATTTTGATTTGCTATAACTTGTGTGAAACAAATAACTGCATCAGATTAATTCATAGCTAATGATAGCACTGCCTCTACCATCAAGACCATATTTAAATCTCGGTGCTGTTAAATGAAAATTCAATTGACACATGATTACTGATGATTGTGTTCATCAGCTTGTGCAATGGTTTGCATTTGGACAATTAGCGTTAGCATTTTGATCGAATTAACATTGAGAAGGGACAATTGCATTTGGAGTAGGAAATCCATTTTTTCATAACTGAAGGTAGACCGTTAGAAGTTATCAAAGTTATTTAGTAGTTGCTAGAGAACTATAACTTGCAGCTTTCAGCAAAACTCTGTTTCCAATTCCCAGTTTAATGAGGCAGCTTTGCACTCTCTTGATCCTAGGCTACTGGTCTTCCAATGTGAATTAGAGAAGACCAAAGCCTGCTTTACCTTACACGGATGATAATGACTCCAGCAAACTAATATAGCAGGCAGAAATGCTCAGTGTGTTGGTATGCCCTAGCTACTCCTCTTTCCCCCTAGCATGTCTCTTATATCCGCTGCACACAGGGGTGTTATAGAGGTCACAAAACCACCCAAAGATGCTCCCTACACTGAGATGATCTTCCTGGGGCTAGCTACTCTGTTTAAAGGAGTTGCTTACAGCAGAGCAGGGCTACTAAATTCCATTTCCTCTCATATAAAGAAAATACCTTTTAAAAAAGGTGGTGAACCTTGACTTTAATACCTACATCAATATTTGCAAATAAATAACCTCATGATTTATAAAAAGAAGAACAGGAGTACTTGTGGCACCTTAGAGACTAACAAATTTATTAAAGCATAAGCTTTAATGCATCCGAAGAAGTGGGCTGTAGTCCACGAAAGCTTATGCTTTAATAAATTTGTTAGTCTCTAAGGTGCCACAAGTACTCCTGTTCTTCTTTTTGCGGATACAGACTAACACGGCTGCTACTCTGAAACCTCTCATGATTTATAGTGTTCAAGGTATTTACTGTAGTAAATATAGGAAAACAGGGAATACTGTAGATGATGAGAGAACCCTAAGTATTTCCCTTAAATAAGGGCCACTATTGTACATGACCATTATGACTATGTAATGAAATAGAGAGCAAACCAGTTCTGATCTAACTCCTCTTGAAATCATTAGCAGAACTCAACCAGAACTGTAGAGCTTTTAAGCTGAGAAGCACGGAGAAAACTCATCACTGCCATAAATGAAAGAGCATTTTAGTGGCTTTTTTCTTTCCTGGTTTTAATAACAACTTTACATCATAATTAGGAGGATGAAATTCCTGCCATTCACAATACACGGTTTGGACAGATTAAAGGGAAGAGGTGTGAGAGATGATAATTGCTTTGTGCTCATCAGACTTCTATTGAAAACTTGACAGGATAATTACAAAATATCTACCTTACTGAACGTCTCCGCACATTTTCAGAGAGCTGTTTAAAGGTGTTCGTTTACTCTCAGGCTGAAAAGTTTTTTCTTTCTTTCTTTTCTCTTTTGATGTAGTTAATTATCATTTAGATTTGTTGTATGTGTTTAAATATAGAGAGTCTATTCTCATGTGCAAGCATGGCTGCATTTGACACACCATCTGCAAAGGAAGTTGCCCATCATTTTCTGAGTTAACCCACAGACAGTCAGCTCTCTTATTTTTCAGCGTGACATTATTTTGATTCTCTGAAAGCTGTAACTTAGATCCTTTGAATTTTGTTGAGAAGTAAATTCTTGGTGGACTACAACAAGTAATCACACATAAATGCATTTTAATTCTTTTGCTTTAAGGGTGAGGTGGGGGAGAAAGCCACTTTACTTATCTAAATACTTAGTAAACTCTTTCCCTCAGTTACTTGCAGACATCTTATCTCAGACTGTGAACTTAACATGCAGAAAAAGTATGGTTAAGTGGTTAGCAAAGGGGGCTGGGAGTCAGGAGACCCTGATGGGTGCTTGGGCTATTAGTTCTCCTTGTACTCATTAACATTTATGTCACTCAATCACTATAACAACTTGTGGTTGGCACATTGCTGATTCCTATGTTTGCAAAAATCTCCACAATATTCTAACCGGCTTTAACTGGTACATTGCAATATACGTTTCCTAAATATCAGCAGTTTAGCAACACTTGCTTAATGCAGTATTCTGTCTTATGACATCTTGTGATATATGGCCATTGCTATCTTGTGACAACTTATGATCTAGGATCACTTACTAGCTTGTTGCTCCTGTCAAGTCTCTAGGCCAGGGGTTCTCAAACTGGGGGTTGGGACCCCTCAGGCAGTCACAAGGTTATTACATGGGGGGGGTCACAAGCTGTCAGCCTCCACCCCAAATACCACTTTGTCTCCAGCATTTATAATGGTGTTAAATATATTAAAAAGTGTTTTTCACTTATGGGGGGGGGGGTCGCACTATGTGAAAGGGGTCACCAGTACAAAAGTCTGAGAACCACTGCTCTAGGCCTTAGGCTTCAGTTTAGCTAAGCTATTGTCTAACAGATCTGAGGCCTGTAGGCCCCGTGATACAACATTAATTAATATTTCTATTTCATGTTGATATCTGAAATATACCTGATATTTTATTGTTAGCTACAGGTTTTCAGTTTTTGCATCTGTGAAATAGGGATGATAATTCTCCTTTGGAAAATGTTGAGCTCTTCAGATTAAAAGCCTGAGTGCATTATTATTGTTGTACACTGTAGCATATACTATATTTAACTAATTTTAACTCCATTTTAGGTCAGAATTTTTCAGAGAGGCCATTTTCATAAGTGTTGAGTACCTCCCTCCCTTAGGCTTCTTTGAAAATCTCAGCCATAATTAATGTTTTATTATATTGTACAGCACCCCAAGTGCCTAGGCAGAGGATGCAGAGGACTTTTTTCTTACGAAATAAAATTAATAATAATATATACATCTCCCAGTGTAAGCAGAGTTGCAGCTGGTCAGTAATGGGATGGAAGCCCTCCCAGGACAAACAAGGTGTAAGAATAGCGATGGCGATTCACTAACTGTGTCACTACTGAACCAGCTGATCCCATCATGTCATGAGGGACCTCTACTTCTAGAGATATTACGTAAAATGAAGTTCTTGACTAGAGCTGGGCAGTGGTTTTTGGATAAACTTTTTTTTGCCAAAATGCAGATTTGAGTCAACCAAAACATTTTGCCAAAGAATGTCAAATTCACAAGATTGTTTCCGTCAAAAAAAATTGTTTTGACATTTTTGAAATTAATTTCCTTTTTTTTAAATAACTTAGTTTTGAAAGTTGCTGTAATTTAAAAAAAAAAGTTAAAATTGGTCAAATGAAATAAAACATTTTGTTTCATTTGATTTACCCAAAACATTTTGTTTCTTTTACTTTTTGATTTGCCAAAAAATTAAAAGTCATTTTGGGTTGACCCAAAACAGTTCAGTTTTAGTTTTTGACTTGGCCAGTGAACTGAAAAGTCAGTTATTTGCACAACGCTTTTCTTGACTTCTTGTGGACATGAACGATCCCTGGTCACATTTTGCAGGATCGTGACTAATTTCCATTTAATACATACCTTCCCACGCCAGTTTTAAATGGAAAATTTGTTTCATTTCCTGTCCTCAGCTTTTTCATAGGGCTGTACAAAACAAAAAGAGTTTCAACGGCTGCTGTCTTTAAACACAGAGGTGGTTGTACTTCATTGGTGCATGAAATGATTCTTATGAGTATAGTTTTGTAAAGCAGTCTGGGATCATGCTGAATGAACAGCACCACACACAATCACGTTATAAGCTCTTTAGGGCAGGGACTGTCTTTTTTTGTTGTGTTTATACAGCACCTAAAACAATGGGATCTGGTCCATGACGGGGGCTCCTAAGCACTAGTGTAAAACAAACAATAAATAATAATTCTAAGCTATCATTGTTACTCAAGTCTAAACTGACATCATCTGTAGTCCATTTAACTAAGCCATCACATTTGCTTCCTCCAAAACTGGCAAAGCCCATGTTCTAAAATGTGAATCTTGTATTCTTATTTAAAGATATCATGAAGAAATTAACAGCCATATCATTCATGTTAGATGGTATGGATTTGTACCTTTAACCATATTATTTCTAAAGAGAAGCACATAATAAAGAATTGTATAAAGAAACATTTTTATGATATTCTAATTTCTTTTTCTCTCTTTTTTTAAAAAAAACACAGTTTTTGAAGAACCGGAAGACCCCAGTAACAGATCGTTTTTTTCAGAAATTATCTCTTCAGTGTCGGATGTTAAATTCAGTCACAGTGGCCGATATATGCTAACAAGGGATTACCTCACTGTCAAAGTTTGGGATCTGAACATGGAAACGAAGCCTATAGAAACATATCAGGTAGATGTTTGCTATGTCTTAAAGGGCAACGCTGCAAAAACATCTCAATATTCCAAATATATTTATAGCGCACTATAGATCTGCAGTGCTTGTTCTGACTGTTATACAAGAGTCACTTTAAAATAAATAGTAGATATGATTCACTTGAGCTCTAAGAGCACTGGTGAAAGAGCATTACCTCTTCTGGAGTCAATGGAGCTATACCAAAGTTGAATTTGGCCCTTAAAACAACTGCTGCCTATATCAAGGGGAATCATCTCTTCATTCTGCGTCAATACGTTCATTATGCAACTCCACAATTTAATGGTTGTAATAAAGATGTAGATTAGAGTTTTCAAGAGTGCTCAGCTGCACCATTAAGTTAGGGGGAGCAGAATTAGGCCACTGCTGAGTGCTTTTGAAAATCCCACCTGTAGATTTCTTCCTAGAGTTCTGAACTGCCTAATCCCAAAAGAAACCTTTGTTACATCATAATATTGTCATCACTATGGGAGTTTAGCTAACACCCGTGAGACTCACACGAGGTGACTAATTCAATGTTGGAGCATGCAATTCTGCTGACTTCAACCAATAGTTAATTTGGGCCCTGGAGCCTGTGCTATCTGGTAAGAACAATCTGAGTTTAAAATATTCTAAGATCACTCAAAGTGGGACAAGTGTGCCCCCCAAAAGTCCTTGTTGCAAAAATACAATGGGAAAAAGCTGTCAAAAACTGTGTTCTGCATAAGCACATGTAATATGACAATCTTTAAAAGTACAGTTGGGCTAGTCAGTAATGCCTAGCTATGGACAGCCCTGCAGGAGATGAGGAGTTGAAAATGAATATTCTGCTGTATATATCCCACATTCTAGGTCAGTGGAAGTAAAGCCCGTGTTCCCTGCCTTGGAAATAGAGTTGTGGGGGTTGGATTGTTTTTTTTTAATTATTTACCTGAACTCCTGGTAACATTTAATAAGAACTCAGGAGTCTGGCTTATCAGGAGTGCCAAATCCCACCATAATAGTATTTAGGGTCTTGTTTTCCTTTTCCCTTTAATTGTACAAGCAGCCAATATAGATTCAGGTTTCTGGGACACATCCCATTAGTTTCAGTAGGAGCTGTGTAGCTAAATCTCATATTAGCCTTTGAAAATGCCAATTTACATTCCTGTAAAGCCACAAAACTGACTTTCTTCAGTAACTTAACTGCCCTGATAGTGATAAATGTGTTAGAGATTTTGGTTCTTATGTGAAACATGATGAGAAGTGAGGGAAATAAAACAGTATTTGGTATGTTACATCCATGTCTAAGATTTTAGGACTGCTGGCAATGTGTTATTTTGCATATATGTTAATATGGTAAGCAGCCTTCTCCCAGGAGGGAAAGAAATGGTCAGGCCAACCTGTTTGTCTTGAGTCTGACATCTGCTTTTATTTCCTCCTGTAGGAATCTTTGAAATAAGCTGGCCACCTTTAAATCAACCTGACACCTTGCAGTGGGGCCAATTAAAAAGTTATATTTCTCCATGCAGAGATGTGGGGAATGAGTAAAATGTAAATTTTTCAGTACTTACTGCAATAATCAGAAGCTTATAAAAAGATGGAAAGTCTAAAACTAGGTCTTGCTGCCTTCAATGAAACTATAGATTGTCTTTTCTTTTCAAACACTTATCCACTGTAGAGAGGATAGTGATGCCATTGGTATACATAAACCCTTTGCAGCTAACAAAACAAGGAAGATCATGAGTGATTTATGAGAGGATGCCTCGTAGGACAGTATAACATCAGTGATTAGGATTCAATAAATTCAGGCTATTTTCTGCAGTCTTTTATCGTCTTGTCATTGGAAAAGATGGTTCTGGATTTTACAGAAAAAAGAAAATGTTCAAAAATATACTTTTTTAAAATATATTTTTTCTCATGCAGATATTATGCCCACTAGGCCACAGGCACACCAATGTCTGGATAGCAAATGCAAATTAATAAATATTATTATACACCTTGACATGTACTCAGAAGGCAGCAATTAAGGCCCAGATTTTCAGAACTGTGCATTTTTGAACATATTGATATTTGTACATGTCATTAGTACAACTGCACATGTAAGCACAATAACTGTGGGTGCAAATTGGACATGTATTTGCTCATACAGTTATGAAAATCTGAGCTTGGTGGACTGTATCTATGGGTTATGCCTTTCCAACTGCAAACAAATAAAGAAAAGCCTACATGCAAAAAAGGGAAGTGAAACATAAGATAAACAAGAAACAAGATAAAGAAGAATATTTGAGCTACATCATTTCATCTAATGCATCATAACCCATGTAGCAATTATTTACTGTAGTGTAAAAAGATTTCTCATCTATAACATTAAAATTGCTTTAAAGTGTGGTGAATCATCATGTACTCAGGATATGACATGTTAAGAGACTTGCTTTGTCATCTACTGCAGGGGTTCTCAGCCTTTTTCTTTCTGAGGCCCCCCAACATTCTATAAAAACTCCACGGCCTGTCTGTGCCGCAATAACTGGTTTTCTGCATATAAAAGCCAGGGCAGCGTTAGGGGGTAGCAAGCAGGGGAAATTGCCTGGGGCCCCATGCGCCCCCATGAAGCTACACTGCTCAGGCTTCAGCTTCAACCCCGGGTGACAGGGCTCAGGACCCTGGGCTTCAGCCCCATGCAGTGGGACTTCAGCTTTCTGCCCTGCATCCCAGGAAGTCTAATGCTGGCCCTGCTTGAAGGCCCCCTGAAACCTGCTCAAGGCCCCCTAGGGGGCCTTGGACCCCTGGTTGAGAACTACTGATCTACTGTATCAGTCTCTCCATGTTGCTACTGTTTTGTGTCTAAATTTTCTCCTATTTTACACTAGAAAACACTATGGACATCCATTGTAAAAATGTGTTCTTCATAACAAGAACTTATGTACATTAAGTAACTGAAGGTCAGGGGCAATTTTTATCCTCACATCCCATCAATAATATTCATTACTCAGTCCCAATATTATATTGTATTTTGGACGTGTCTTTGTAATGTGTCTCTACTAGCACTAATTACTTTAACAAATGCCAAGTTCTCATAAGGCACAACTATAAAGACATGCAGACTTCCAATACATCCTGTGCGGGACTCTGAACTACATTATCTTGAGCTTATTGCCACTAAATAAAGTTAGAGAAAAATTATATACCTCTGACGTGCTCTGAACTGTACCCTATTTCTCTTCTCTGTTTCCCCTTTAATTGCTAGAAGGAATCCACATAACATGATTCCATTTCATGCTCAGCACCCAGCCTCCTTCTCCCTCAAGGGGGTAGCCAACAAAAAGCCTCAGGTGTCTGGAATCAACTGGCACTTGCACTAGCAGCAAAGAGGAAGCCATCACAACTTCCCATAGTCAGCCCAGTTAACTAATATTAAAACTCTCATATTGACTTTGCTCAGTTTTGGTGGCTTATCACGTCCTGCCCTCGCTTTGTTCCCCCACCACATTCTCCTTTTTACAGACCCATCCTTCTGTCTTTCTTTTGCTGCTTGTGCCCTTATCCACTCTCTCCACCTTCCCTTCCTCTCTATTGCTCTGACACATTCACCATTTTACTGGCCTTCCTCCTACTCCTCACATCACTCGTATATGACTTGCTCTCAGAGAACTGTTAAGCATATGGCTAACTGAAACAATAACATGGTATATTATTGCAACCCTTGGCCTTTTTAATCCACTATGCCTGGTCTTCCCTTGTTGTAGTCAGCATTGTATATTACTGGATTTAAATTTGGACTGCTGTGAAGTGCTATGTGCACATATGGAATGTATATATTTTGGAGGCTAGATGAGATTGTTTCCGTAAAGGGTCACCATAGGAGAATTTCCATAGGGGTCAAGAAAAGACAAGTTTTATAACTGCTCCACTGACAGAAGTTAGTTTCTTGGACATCTTCTAAACAAGGTCTCTCATGTAATTCTCTAAGGCCTCATCACCTTGGGGTCAGAATAATACAGACCTCTGTTCGCAACAACCAAACTTGTCCATGTTTGTGGTTAGTATCAGTGTGATCCCAAAGTGGGCAAGACCTAATGACAATAATTCAGACTAATGTGCTTTTTGTCATGACAATCCCTGCCTGAAATAATTTGTTCCAACAAAATAGCTCCCTCGTGTTTTCCTAGAGCGTAGAATGTCTGGATAATTCTGTCAAGGGCATACATAACAGAGGAGCATGATTCCAGAAAGGAAAATTCTGGTAGCAAATCTTTAAGAACAGCTTTTATGGAAATTGGAACATTTTTCATAGATGGCGAGATAGCACATACGAGCAATACTTGGACAATAAAATCCAGTTTTATCATCAAACCATGATAGTGTGGGCTTTACCTCCAGAATTCATTAAGCAGTGTATCAATTTTATCACAATTAATAATAATGATTAATAATAAACTTAAGTGTGCAAACAAAAGTACTTTTATTGCTTGTGGTCTTAGACTTTTTTTTTAAATGTGTTTTCTTGCAATGCCACTGGCCACAGATTATCCCCTTGAAACCGTGTTTCTAAATGGTCAGTCACATCAATCCATTGCATCGAGGGTAGGAAATACAGGGCAAAATTGTAGCACTGATCTACCACGGAGGTGATGTGGAGCTTCCAAGAGTTTCCAGGGAAAGCCACCCCGTGCCACTCTTAAGGAGGTAGCTATGTGTGCTGCCTTCCACAACCGCTCTGCTCACTGGTGCAGGGAGGGATGAAGTCATCATCTGGAATCATCTGCACGACTGTTGTGCTGCCTTTACAGAGGCCAGCACAGCAGTGATCTTGGTAATGTTGGTACATGGTTGCCTCTGGTACATTGTTTAATTTACTGATGCAATGGATGCTGATTTGATAACCTCATCTTTAGGACAGTTCAACATTCCATGATTGGGAGATGACAATAGAAAAACAGGACAGATGTTCAAATTTTTAACCACAAAGATTCTCACAGTTATCCTGGAGGGTATCAATGTGAGCAAGAATGAAAAGAAAGGTCGGAATGAAGAGCTGGCATTTGTGACAGCCTGTGGATAGAGCATCGGTACCTTGATAACGAGGAGTGAAGAACTTCTGAAATTCAGAAGGAAGAATGAAAGTGGAGGAAACACAAAGCACTGCATAGCTTATTAAAAGTTGTAGAGCTGAACGCACTTTTCAAAGGGAGCATTAGTCACAATGGACAGGTGGCACATGGAACAGATAGCAGAAAAAAGAGCATGAAAAGATGAAAATAACTAGGCAGGTGGAGATCTGAGACCACTGAATACTATGTATACAATTTTACTGCTGCTTCATCCTCTCATCCTGCCCCATCCTCTTTTGTCAGTTTCTTCCATGTGTTGATTTTTGTGCGAGGCAATCAGGATACTGATGAAAGGGCCCCACTCCTATAACACAAATTAACACAATAAACACTATTAATACAAATAGTCCCAATCCTGTAATACATTTAAAAATATTAACAAATGAGACAATGATTGTTGCCTCAGAGATGAGTGACAATTAGGGAACCCAGCCAATTTCTGCTGAAAAAAATCTGGTGGCTATCAATAAAAGGGAAGATGGAATGATCTCATTATGAAGGTTACATGAAGCACCCACCATGAATGTGCACCACAATGTACAACATTCAGTAAATGCATTTAACTGGGAAACATTCTATCCACATCTCTCACATGTTTATTAGCTATTAAGTAAATAGCGTGTTCAGCTGACATATTTTAACTGAACATATATAGCATAGGATGCTCATTAATCTAATTCTGAAAATTGATCCATGACAGAAATTTATAGCCCATACAAAATTGAGTTAATTTGCAAGTTTGTTCATTACAGTACAGTGCAGCTGTTGCAAACAGTTCTAGTTTTAATAACACTTGAGTGAGCTAGCCAGCCAGAACAGTGAAACTGGTATTAAAGTATCTTGTTGGAGAAGATTCTAGGCCTTCGACCAGCAGAGGATCCTGCATATGTGCTGAGAACACCATAGTCAGGAGAACCAAATTTAGCTCTGACAGAAACAGATATACTTTTCAGGAACTTCAATGGAAGGGGTACCTTCTTATGGCAGGACTAAATTTGGTCCTTATGCTACATTGCATTGATATGGTTCTTCCTCAGAAGTCATCTATACAACATTCATATCGGATGGAGGTGTTGGATTACTAGACCTTGTGCAGGCAGGAATTGTCTGACTCCTTATTTCAATGTGGGGGTGAAGAACATCATACAGAAGGAAAAAATTGAATTCATTAAAGGACCGATGCAATGCACATGAGTTGTGTCCTCTATGATAAACTCACACTCCATAGAAGTATGCAGCCTAAAACAAGGTCTTCTGTGAATCTTACTTTCAAAGCATTCAAGATAAGAACTCATGGTTTGTTTTCAGATCTCAGACATCATCACTGATATGAAGTAGCTATCAGAGCAGGAGAGCATTCTGGGTACTAGTCTATGTAAATAAGACACCACGTATCTTACGATCCTTTACTTCTGAATTGCTGTATAATGTAATACCACAGCTTTTATAAATGGAGCAGGGACCTCTCTCACACAGCCCTATATTGTAAGTGGAAGTCTATATATATCTTGGATTATTATTATTTACTATTTAAATTAGAGGATTCATTCTCTCATTAGCACATCTGCTGTATCATCTGGGAAGATCTGTTTTGGAATCAGGCTAGAGTTCAGAAATTCACACTAACAGGAACCAACCATGTTAGAGAGAGGTAATCTACAGTATGCTCAGAAAAGCATGCTCTAGCCAGAGCTTTCCTGCTACATTAATTCTATAGCACTCTTCTAATTGAACTATAGAAAAGCAGAGACCTCATGTTTAAGAGATAGAAGTACTCTCTATCTTTGTAAAATCTACAAACCTGTAAGAGCAATAGTATAGGACATATTCTAAAACAAAGATTTGTAAAAACTGCACTGTCTTTTTCTGCTAAACAGGTCCATGATTACCTTAGGAGCAAGCTGTGTTCCCTTTATGAAAATGACTGCATCTTTGACAAGTTTGAATGTGCATGGAATGGATCAGACAGGTAACCCATCCTTATGTTCATCACTATTTTAATTTCACTGAGGGGCTGCCATAGGATGGAGTATAGTCAATAAATCTGTAACTTGTGGTTATTGTACATATCAAGTTACATTTCTCCATATCAGTGTCCAGTCTTTTACTGCTGTTGTACCTTTTCACCCACTCAGCCACAATTTAAGAATCATTATTCTCTGCACACAGCCACTGGGAGAAAATCAAATTCCACTCATTTCCACCAAAAGCACCAAAATGGGCTGAAAGAATCAAAAGAAAACAGGACTTACTTAAAAAACAGTTTCACAACCCACCTGCATGGGGATTTTGCTAAGGAAACTCATGCTCAGGCAAGTTAACAAAGTAGCTTCCTTGTAAATCCAATCTAGCAGCTGAAAATAAGGAGGGAGGATGAGCCAGTGCCATGTGACCAGTCAGTGCTTTGCAGACCACTGGTCACCGTTTGTGAAGCATTCTTCTAATGTCATGCAATTTGTGTGTGTGGAGGAACTATATATATAGGACCAAATTCTATTCATTTATTTCTTAGGCTTTGGCTTCATTCTGGTAGAACAGAGCAGGATTTGTCCCATAAAGTTATAACTCATTTCTGTATTATGATATACCAAGTAAATATAATTAATACCACTGTCTCCTTCATAACAACAAGGATAAGATTACCTTTTCTAAGAACCACCTCGTTGTCAGATACTGCTCTCACTCCTTGCACAGCATTCCCATTGACATGAATGGCAGGTCCCTGTGAGGACTGAGTAGAGTATGTGACATACAATAGAGCATGCGACCCATACAAGCGAAATGCATCCCCTCATGCATCTAAAAATGGGTCCGAGTTTCTCTCTCATACACACACAGAGATACAAAATCATGCTTTATAATGTTGTTAGATACATTCTTTTCTTTGGACTATAGTTGCCTTTGCTCAGTTCCTATTTTCCTCCAGGAAGAGAGGTTCTCTCTTTACTGATGTGCTACAACCTTCCACCATATTCTTCATGCAGAGAAAACTATATTCCTCTGTAATCTCTGACCTGGAACTGCTCTACTGAGTTGATGGTTCCTTCTCTGGCTATAAAGTACCTTTCTTTAGCCCAATAGGTGCGCAGATGTTTCACAATTCCACGGATATATTGACTCATGTAATTCATAGAATTCCCCAGAGTATCATGGAAATTAGAAACAGGAAAGACTTACTGGGTCATCCTGTTAATGTAAAAATGTTTCCTATAGCATATTCCCAAGTACTTCATCCAGCCTAGTTTTAAGTGACTCAGTCAACTGAAGCTACAAGACCATTGCCTTTGGGATATTCTACCTGAGTTGAATTTATTTTATACTGGGAATTAGCTATGTTTCAGCATTGCGTAAATTCTTCTATTTTATGGACTACCAGCCAGTGACCACATTGGGGTAAAATCCTTCACAGTGTCTTGTGACACCTTGGGTGTCAGCTATCTTGTGCCAGGGCTAACCAGTCCTAGAGCAGACTGCTGGTGGTGGGCATGACTCAAGATGTTTGAAAATTAGGATTGGCTCAGCTTTAGCTAAGCATCCAGAGTTTTGGGTGCTTCTCTGAACCTCTTGAACCTGCAGAGAGTAGATAGAAACCTCAGAACAACAGTCTCTCATGAGAGTCCCAGTACTACTTGCTTCCAGTCAGGATGGAAAGACCACCTGAATAGCCTTTTAGGGGGAATATTGACACATATCCCAGCCAGAACCTGGGAGTGCAGAACTGCAAAAAAAAAGTGTGGGTATGGGCAGGATAGGGGAGTTAATCAGACATTTCAAAACCATCACAAAGCTTCAGGAGTCTCCTAATATCTTCAAAACCATTTCATCCATCCTTAAATGGGAGCTCTAAGACATTATGCTTGTAGGCAGCCATGCATTTGCACTCTCAGGTACTTCCTTCAGTAGCTGAACAAAAGTGTTCTCATCCTCAAAGTATCTGGATAGCTACATGTTAATAATACAATAATTATTCAATATTGGGTTTAAAATGAGAGTAATTGTTTCAGTCTAATTCTCACTTGAAAGATCAGAAAGGTCAACATAGTATGAAATCAACTGGTCCTCATTCAGTGGGAGCATTCCATTTTTAAAGGCTTACTTTATCACACTGTTTATATGTGGGAGGATAGTTAATCTTGCACAATTCTGAATCCATCACTAAACACTGCTTATTAAAATGAATGGGATACCTGGCATGATCTTAAGAAACCAGCGAGCACAACTTTTGGTCAGACATTTGACAAAAGACAACATTCATTTTATTTTAATTTATTTTTGTTTTTCTTTTCTAAACTTAGTACACGTCCTCTTAACAGTCTAAACGAGAGTTAAATACATCACAACCAATTTTCATCATTAGGGTGACACTTGCATTGACACTTCTGAACAAGGAGATGTGATCTTGCTTGTATAAGTGGCAATTATTTTGTTATTTCAGTGCACAATATATGGATTCTGTACTGGTGTTTAAGGAAGAGTTCCCATCTTTTTAAAAAATACACATTAATATTAAGATAGATGATCGGATATGTTAATATATATATTTTAAATACACCTTTTTGCAAAAGGTAAGACAGGCCTATTAGCACCTGGGGACTTTAAGGGGAGTCCCATAACGATATTTGCATTAATGAAAATGATTACAAATATAAGGATGGCATTTTCTTTAAAAATGCTAATCTAGTTTAGGGTATTTAACAGGTTAAGTGACACATTAGAAACAGACATGGTTGCATTCAAAAATTAAAAGCATGATTATATATGAAAGTTGTCTTTTTTTTTAGTTAATTTTCGTTGCCATTAAGGACTTAATTCAGGATCACAATGAGCCCCATTGTTGAGGCTGTTTACAAAAAAGTCAATGTACACAAGCTCTGATTAAAACGTGATTGATGCTCAGTAACGCCAATGAACAGGAACTAATACAATCAGACAGATCCGATCGCATTTGCTGAAGGACACATTAATCATTATATACTTGGGCAAGAACAGCAATTGCAGGAGGTAAAGGGGGAGGGTGTCTTAAAAATAATGCAACCAGCCGAGCAGATATTATGTTAGTTGACTGGGTTAAATAAACACATGCCATGTATAGCATATACATATGCATGCTTACATGACTTCAGAACATGCAAGCTTTATTGTATATAGCTGTTTTATTTAAAGATTTGAGAGTCCAAGTGAATGGAAGAATTAACTAATAACGTGTAAAACAGTGTCCCCTTCCCACCGCCAACCTTGGAATGCAAATATGCACACATTGTTATTTCGGAGTTTATCTCAAATGCCCTGGAATTAACAGCAGCTGAACAGGTTATCTGTGAATTACATTGTTGAATTTCTGTTTCACCTGACCTCCTCCAGTACATTCTAGATATTAGAAACTACGTACATTAATACCTTTCTATATATTTTTTTTAAACTAACTGCTGGAGGGAAGCCTTCAAAGGAGTCTTTCAGCTACCATGGTGGTGAGGGCCATACAAGTGGGTAGATGAAATCACAAACAACTATCAAAGAGCCCTATGTCTTCATCCAGTTAGCTTCCTGAATCTACTCTGCATAAGTGGCAAGTTCCAGTGGCCTTAAACCACTGATTTGCCTATGACTGCTTTAATAAAGATTTGGTTTTGTACACTTGTCTACCCCAGTCTTGTATGATGCAGTGGTGGGTTGATAGCAAAATCCACATTTAAAATATAGAAGACATCACTCAGATTGGGAGTCCCTTGTTTCTCATTCCCAGTCTCATCCAGGCCAGTTTTATATGTGCCCCGTAGCTCCTGAGCCTATTATCCAAGCTTGTCTATCAGCAATGGTGCTAAGATTCCCCACCAATGCACCATCTAATTTATAGTCATGAACCTTCTCTCTCACTTCAAGCCAGTCAGTTCCCCACTACCACCGAACTGTGTTGTATGGTTCCCAGGTGAAGACTGGCTGCCCTGCGAAATAGGCATAATCATGTGTATGGGGATCAGTGCAGCAGATCTTCTCCCTCCTTTTCCCTAAGAAACTCCATAATTTTCTCCCAAGCAACAGAGTTTTGGAAAGTCACTGGGTTCCTTTGAAAAGGCCAGCTTGCCATGATGGCAGCACCCATACCCTCTTACTGCTGAGCACCTGAAAAGTCTAGATTGCCATTTCCCATGGTAAAATCGACAGGAGCACTCCTGGAGGAAGAAAATTGGTAAGAATCCCCTCACTTCCACACTGGCTTGGACCCCAATAACAAAATCCATTGGCTGAAAGTTGAAGCTAGACAAATTCAGACTGAAAGTAAGGCACAACTGTGAGGGTAATTAAGCATTGGCCAATATGCCAAGGGTTGTGGTGGAGTCTGACCATTTTTATATCAAGACTGGTTGTTTTTCGAAAAAGATGTGCTCCAGGAATTATTTTGGGAAAGTTCTATGGCAGATGTTACACAGGTGCTCTGACTAGATGATCACAGTGGTCCCGTCTGGCTTTGGAATCCATGCATCTCCTCTGCAATCACACAGTATGGTGACGAGGTGGTCTGGCAACAATGAGCACCAGGGTGGGCACTGCAGAAAAGATAATACAGCACCAACGTGTATCTTTTGTGCCTGCAGTTCAGAGGGGAGAGAGAGTAAGCTGGGCCATCCAGCCATCTCAGCACTATTCCCCTAACTCTGCCCAGTCTTTGCCCTTTCCCATGGTGCAGATGCCTCCAGGTGGTCGAGATTGGTGTGAAAGGGGAAAAACAGTGTCATGGGGTGGGGGAATCATCCAACACCCCATGCCCTGCAGGAAATAAGAAAGCCATATCTGGAAAGCACCCTCCATGTGTGAATTTAGGGGCAGGCATGTGGGCAGTTGTGCCAAGGGTTAGAGCAGGCATCACAGGATTCAGAGTCAATGATCAGAACTGGGTTACTTGGAGTGAGGCAAGGCAGGGCAGGGTTGGATCCAAGGCAGGTGTGGTGCTGGGTCTGATGCTGCATACAA